AGCTCAATAACAGGGTTCACTTAAACCCTTCAAAACCTGTCAAGTCACAACTACGTACTGTTCATACATAAGGCACCCACCATACACGCTCTGGTGCATTTTTGTGTCTTCCTTTTCAATGGCACCCCAGCGTACTGATTGCATCTTGATAGGTAAACCACTACATTTCTTAGGAAGAACCTCCTACATCAGCCAATAAACATTTCCCAAATATATATAATTGAAGGGGAAGCTGCAAACGCAGTTGCATTCTGTGAAGAGAAGTCGAACACACAACCAACAGCATAAGCTGGATCAGGTTACATGCAGCCTGTCAATTCTAGGCTTACCTTCCTTGGTGCTTACTAAAACAAGCTTCAAATAGTTATATTATTCCTTACACACAGTAAATTATCTTTAAAAGCCCTCAATCACATCTGTAGCTGCAGGCATCAAGAAGCCATTCATTCTCAAAATTCAAAGCAGAAGCAATAAAGTTATTGAAGTCATTCTCTCAGCAGCTCAGCTACCCCTTATCCCCCATCCCAGCAATACCTTGGAAGCCTTCCGAGCTCTGGTATATACACAAAGCAGGAGCTCTGCAAACGGTTAGCTGAGCTGCTGAGAGAAGGACTTGAATAATTTTAGTGCATCTGTGAAATGTAAGGATTAGTTTCTCCACAGGGCCTGCAGCTACAGAGGCCAGTTAGGGTTTGTTTTAAAGATCACTCATTTCTTAAGCCCATCTAAATACCTAAATGTCCATAGCCTGGCCACAGTTTTACTTAAAGTGTTACTAAACCCAGGACCCTGCATTCACTATCTGGTCTCCCACAGTACACAGAACATGGAAATGCAATTATTTTAGCAAATGTAAACTGCTAAGTACCTTTTCTCTCCAGCAGTTACAGCAGTCCTCTGACTTCAGCATTGCACTGGTTAAAGCTTGACCCTCTGTCTGGACAGTGCTGATTGGCCCTGTGCTGATCACATGCACTCTCCCAAGGAGGAAAAAAAAAAAACCTCTCTAGCAATACGCACTAAACTGAGCATGTGGCTGTGGGTTCAGTCTGTCTTATCAGGTGGACATCTGAACAGGAGGAAGGACAGAGGAAACAGGATCAAATGGTCTTTTTACACAATGCAGAGGAATAACCCCTTAGGTTCCACATATAACAAGCATGCTTTACTGCATATACAGACTGATTTTACTGTTACGGGTTTCAAACACTTTTTTCAGGATTGCTATCTACTCAGGCTCTCGAGGTCACATAAAAATCACTATTTATAAACTTTATTATTCCAGTTAAAAAAAAATCAAAATAGGTATAAGGCAAACATTTACAATTGTATCATTGTTGGTTCTCACCTGGTGGCCGGTTTTGAAATTCTGAGAGTTTCTGACCAGCGTCTAAGGCTCCTAATTGATCTCCAACCATTCCAGATTGATCAGAGTCTTCCATACGAGATTCAGCAGCACTATAAATAAATTAGTTACAGATTAATGCATGGCTGAGTCTATTACCTGACCAAACATACTGTAGTAGGGTGGCTTTAAAATAGGTTTACTGAGAATGTATACTGTTATTATGGGCATTATCTTTTAAGTACTTACTATTCTTATGTATTTTTTAGTATGGTAAATACGAAATATGTATATGAATATTTCAGGTTTACTACTTGCAGTCCGACTAGTTTGTAAAAGCTGGTTTACTACTATGCTGTGAATATACATGTCATTACAAAATCTGAATGACTGAGCAAGAGTACACCTCTTCCCTTTCTAGCAGAGAAAGAACAATCTGGGATTTTTTAATTGCAGGAGCAGTAAACACATTCAGGGCTCTTGGATTATAGTAACATGAAAGCAAACTGTACTGAATTTTTATTTGTATTATAATAACAATGAGGGGAAAAAAAGGATATCAAATCCAGCTAGACTTAATTCATGTGAAGGGCCACATCTATATAAGTATAGGACAAACATAAAAGGCCAACAGACTCTATAGACTTGGAGTCACAGCACAGGATAAAAAAGCCAACAGATTCAAACAAAGAAAACCTGTACTAGTGAGGTATTGAGGCTGTCACTTCTAGCTTTTTCTTTAGAAAACTCTACTTCCCTGGCTGCCCTGATAATCCAATTGCTTCAGAATTAGTACTGCACCTGGAATAAGTATGCACATTTGGAATTTTTACTTTCCTGATTTTCTTATTTGAATCCAGGTCAGTATTTCTGAAAAGACTGAAATCAAAACCAGACAGGTAGGGAGCTTTTTCAGCAGGTCAGCAATGGCAACTTACTGTACATGTTTCTCCCAGTTTCAGGTATATCAGCTAATAATTCCCTGCTGTGGACAACTGCTGAAAAATTCAGTTACAGTGGGACAAAAAAGTATTTAGTCAGCCACCAATTGTGCAAGTTCTCCCACTTACAAAGATGAGAGAGGCCTGTAATTGGCATCATAGGTAGACCTCAACTATGAGAGACAAAATGAGAAAAAAAATCCAGACAATCACATTGGCTGATTTGGAAAGAATTTATTTGCAAATTATGGTGGAAAATAAGTATTTGGTCACCTACAAACAAGCAAGAGCTCTGGCTCTCACAGACCTGCACCTTCTTCTTTAAGAGGCTCCTCTGTCCTGCACTCATTACCTGTGTCAATGGCACCTGTTTGAACTTGTTATCAGTAAAAAAGACACCTGTCCACAACCTCAAACAGCCACATTCCAAACTCCACTATGGTGAAGACCAAAGAGCTGTCGAAGGACACCAGAAACAAAATTGTAGACCTGCACCAGGCTGGGAAGACTGAATCTGCAATAGGCAAGCAGCTTGGTGTGAACAAATCAACTGTGGGAGCAATAATTAGAAAATGGAAGACATACAAGACCACTGATAATCTCCCTCAATCTGGGACTCCACGCAAGATCTCACCCCGTGGGGTCAAAATGATCACAAGAACGGTGAGCAAAAATCCCAGGACCACACGGGGGGACCTAGTGAATGACCTGCAGAGAGCTGGGACCAACGTAACAAAGGCTACCATCAGTAACACACTACGCCGCCAGGGACTCAGATCCTGCAGTGCCAGACGTGTCCCCCTGCTTAAGCCAGTACATGTCCGGGCCCGTCTGAAGTTTTCTAGAGAGCATTTGGATGATCCAGAAGAGAATTGGGAGAATGTCATATGGTCAGATGAAACCAAAATAGAACTGTTTGGTAGAAACACAACTCGTCGTGTTTGGATGAGAGAGAATGCCGAGTTGCATCCAAAGAACACCAAACCTACTGTGAAGCATGGGGGTGGCAACATCATGCTTTGGGGCTGTTTCTCCGCAAAGGGACCAGAACGACTGATCCATGTACAGGACAGAATGAATGGGGCCATGTATCGTGAGATTTTGAGTGCAAACCTCCTTCCATCAGCAAGGGCATTGAAGAGGAAATGTGGCTGGGTCTTCCAACATGACAATGATCCCAAACATACCGCCTGAGCAACGAAGGAGTGGCTTCGTAAGAAGCATTTCAAGGTCCTGGAGTGGCCTAGCCAGTCTCCAGATCTCAACCCCATAGAAAACCTTTGGAGGGAGTTGAAAGTCCGTGTTGCCCAGCGACAGCCCCAAAACATCACTGCTCTAGAGGAGATCTGCATGGAGGAATGGGCCAACATACCAGCAACAGTGTGTGCCAACCTTGTGAAGACTTACAGGAAACATTTGACCTCTGTCATTGCCAACAAAGGATATATAACAAAGTATTGAGACGAACTTTTGATATTGACCAAATACTTATTTTCCACCATAATTTGCAAATAAATTCTTTCCAAATCAGCCAATGTGATTGTCTGGATTTGTTTTCTCATTTTGTCTCTCATAGTTGAGGTCTACCTATGATGCCAATTACAGGCCTCTCTCATCTTTTTAAGTGGGAGAACTTGCACAATTGGTGGCTGACTAAATACTTTTTTGCCCCACTGTATCTCAACAAGTAATGCCATGACCTTAGCAAGCAAAACAGGAGGATGATACCCTCTTTAATCAAAGTCTAAAAAAGACTTAGTTCAGATGGATGCTGACACCCGTTCTGTGTGCAGGCTCCCTTTGTTATTGCATCAGCATCTGCCCCGGGCAGGCACCCTTTAGAAACGGATGCAGTGACTGCATGAACATAGCCACATGTCAAAATCTGACATGCAGACCGAAGCAGGTACACGGATCAGTGTGCAGCACGCAGGTACTGTGCATGCAGGAGAGGTCTTAGAACCTATCTGAATGAACCCAAAGAAAAACGTATTCTGTTTTCCTGATAGCAATCTGTCCCACAAGCACAGTTTAAATCCGAAAATGTAAGTCCGACTGGCTGCTATGGCTGAAATACACACCATTCTTACATATTTCAATAAATTAGGCCCATGGTTCTCCACCATTAACATTATTGATCTCATGCAAAACAGGTTAGCTTTCTTTTCTGAAAGCCCAGCATACTTAATACTTCCAGCACAACATATTCTTCCGCTGTTACCATAAACCACTTACTTCATATGTTCCTCCACTTGTTGGTTCTTTTTCTTCCTTGGAGGCTTCTTCTTCTTTGGCTTGGGAGCAGCAGTGTTCTGTTTGCTGTTTACGCCAAAGTGACCGGCAGATATGTCACTTTGAAGAAGATTCACCAAGAGAGGGCTGGTCAAAGTGACATCTTTGTTGACAGGGAAGGTTGGATTTTGTCCACAGGACAGTGGATTCCCATTGCCACCTTGACCAAATGGAGAACTGAAGGGGAGACCGTGTCCAGGAAAGTGTTGTCCAGGTCCATTATTCCCAGGCATGTTCTGTAAGTGTTGGGGATGTTGTGGACCCATATTGCCCGTTTGCTGCATGGGTAAATCAGGCAAAATAGACCCTAAGTCACCAGTAGCTTGAGCAGAAGTTTCTCCATGGGACTGCTGAAGATGTTGTCCTGGTCCAGCTTGTCGGAGGACCTGATTTTGTAGGTTGACACCTTGTGAAGGATTACCACCCACTGGCCCCTGCTGGGAAACAGCCTGCCCTGAGAACTGAATCATATTGTTAGGCAGACCAGAGGCTGGACCCCTTATTATCTGACTAGGTCCTGCCATGATACTCCCTGGGTTTTGATTGTTGAATCCTTGTTTATTTCCCTGCATTATCTGCTCCATTACAGGATTCTGCTGCATTATAGCCTGATTCTGGGCTGCCATCATCTGACTGTGAGGAGGAATCATTTGCTTCGGGGGTGTCATCCTCTGAGGTGCCTGACCCATATTTTGAGATCCTGCCAGCATCTGTCCCTGTGACATAAGCTGTGTTCTTGAGAGTACCAGCTGACCTTGGGTGTTCAGAGAAGTCTGTCCTTGAAGGCTAACCATTTGTCCCTGGGAGGAAATGATTTGCTGATGCATGCCAAGAATTTGGGACTGTGGTCCTTGCTGGGCCTGCCCATGCAGTCCACCAATACTAACTTGACTCACACCACTGCCACTGGTTTGCTGGCTATTCAGGTTATTATGAAGTCCAATAAGATTAGTCTGCATCACATTGGCACCACTATGAGACCCTTGTAGCTGACCATGGGATGATCCATTTGCCTGACCACCTACAAGTCAAGCAATTCATTAGTGTAACCCATCATGGTTTATGCACAATAAACACAACTACAGAATGCAATATGTGACCTACATTACTATCAACTTGAAGATCAGGCTTTTTCTGACACTTTTTGTAACAATCAGTATATTTGCTAGAAAATGTCTTAGAACCCCCAAACATTATATATTATTTTAAAGCAGAAGCCCTAGAGAATAAATTTGTGGGTGTCGCAAATTTTTATGTCACACGGTATTTGTGCAGTGAATTTTCAAATCCAATATTTTCTTTAAAAATACCCTTTTTATAAAAAAAAAACATTTTAAATGTAAAAAACACAACAACCCAGTTTTTTGTAAAATATAAAAGATGATGTTACACTGAGTAAATAGATACTAAACATGTCATGCTTTAAAATTGCGCATGCCCGTAATGTAAATTTTACTATTTATAGGCGACACTTTAAAAGCCTTTACAGGTTACCACTTCAGATTTACAGAGGAGGTCTAGTGCTGGAATTACTGCTCATGATCTGACATTCACAGTGATGCCTCACATGTGTGGGACAATAGCTGATTGCGTACTTTCTGGGACTGACATGTGCGTTTGCCTATGCATGCAAACGCAAGGTGGGGAGTAGTGAGTTTGAACACGGTCATTTTAATTTTTTTTCTATCACTTTTATTGCTGCCCCAAGGAATGTAAACATCCCTTGTGACAGCAATAGGCATGTGACAAGTACTCTTTAAAACTCAATAAGACCCCAAATCCCTCCTCAGCCCTCAAAAGCATTTAATCACACAAAGATTGGTGTAATCAAATGCTTTTCATTTTTAAAAATGGCGCCGTTTACATCCGAGGAAACGGGAAGTGATGTATGGTCATTGCTTCCGGTTCCCTATATCATAAAGCCAAATGAAACAGTTCCACTCTCTGTTCAGCCTATGATCAGTTGGCGGATGGCCCGGCTGGTTGATCAGGTGCCCTGGTGGGATGGGACAGCACATTAAAGCCATGGAAGGCGGCAGGAGGGGGAGGGACGTCCCCTCGTGCTGTTTCTAAAAGCAATTCAGTGGCTAGTTAGCTGCTCGGATTGTTTTACAAGAGAGACAACCCTCGGCTCTAAAAACCAGTACCAAGATGATGCCTGCAACTGTGGGCATCATCCCGATGTAGACATTTGAAGTCCAGCGAGTGGTTATAAAAAAAGTGTTTTCTTAGTTAAACCATTACTTTTTTTTCAGGTCACTTCAGAAAAGAAAACAAAAAAAAAAAAAACTATAGACACTTCCCCATCTGTATTCCAAAAAAATTGTCACAAACATGAGCACACAATTAAAACAAGTAAAAGTAGGTGTTAACTTCAGCTGAATGTCAAAATATTCCCTTAGAGTATAACTAAAGGCAAAACTTTTTTGTTCAGTTTTGGATAGAGTGAAGAGAGATTAGAATACCTGTCAATTTTTATTACAGTCTGTGTCCACATGCACCCTCTCTATTTGTCCTGTTTACCACTGAAATTGAAAGTAAAAGAAAATCCCCAAATTTTGAAAATTTTGGGTTGTCCCCAGAAAAGTAATAGAGAGGAAATGTTCAAAAGGGAACACTAGTTCTGGTGACCTGGGGTCCCCAAGGCACTCCCCTAATTTGTAGGTACTTCTTCTCACTTCCTGTTTGGCTAAGGGACAGGAAGTGAAGGGAAATCTCTGCACTGGGACAAAGATGGCAGAGAAAAAAGTCTGACAGGAGTTATAACCCTCCCTTGCTCTATCCAAAATGAAAAGAAAATTGCCTATAGTTCTACTTTAATCCTCAAGATATATGCAAATCTTGACTTTTCTGTAAAAGTTGAGCTTGGCCCGCCGTTCTTCCACATCAGTCAGGAAGGCAGTTATCACAAATAATGTCCAATAAAGAAGAGCCTCGTGTGTGAAAGGTCAGGACCAAGCTTGCCACCCATTGGAAATGTAAATCATTCCCATTAACTTCATCTGCCTATAATTTCAGATCTACTGATTATTATGACATATGACATGCAGATCGCACTAAATGAAACAACTTTATGCAATTTTTATTATATGCTTAGTCTGAATTGCATGCTGACATACCAGGAAGTGCACAGCTATTTTTCATGGGAAATTCCAGACAAAATGTACATTTTCGGGATACTGCTTAGGTACAATGAATATTTCTAGATGTTCCTTATAACACAGAAAATCTTTTGAATTCAGGTTCATTTTAGGTAAGGCTTACTTAGCACCAAATGATCCTTTGCTCTCCCCAAAAAAAACACCCTAACAAACTAATCTTTGAGCGCTGGACATAAGGTAAGAGAAAGATAAAAATGCCAAGAAGTGTATTTCAATATTGATTTCATAAGCAGGAATTGTAAAATGAGAGTAGGACATTTTGTCTGTACTATATAATGTTACATGCTATAGTCACGATTCATTATAAAAACTGTAGCTGAGGTGGTCATTTCCCCCTAGATGTCATCCTTTTAACTATCATTCTAAAGAAAAAAAAAAAGAAAAAGCAAATAAAGCATTAATCCACAAAGCATAAACTGGTTACGAAGTCTAACTATACATTATACAATTTTCTTGTACAATTTTTCTTTAGATATACCACAAACTATATAATATAAGACCAAACCTAAACACTATTTTCATTTTGTATCCAATTAGACAGGCTCTTGCACTACATAGTTTAAGGTAAATCTAAAGGAGATTTTACAGAAATCGGACAAGAAAATTGTATAGTGCATGGCCTGCCTAAAGCAATCATTAGTTTCATGAAACTTGCTGTGGTTGATAGCAATGGGTCATACCTGCTCCTTGACCAGCTTGCTGCTGAGCCGTGGCACCATTCGTTGGTGACCCTGCATTGCTGGGTGGGGTCTGTCCCTGCAGAAAATTGGCATTTGTTTGCCCTGAAGCAAAGCCAGGCGGCAGCCGCTTAACGACTCCTAGGAGGGTAAAGGAAAAAATTCTTTATATATAAATGGAATTAGCACTTTGCAATTTACACAACTAGTTCTAAAAGGAAACCTCTAGTGGGAAATATGTCCTCTGCTTACATTTCCCTTCTGAAACTGCTAGTTACTTGGCTGGGATGCACTAGCTTGAAGATTAAAAAAGGAACCTCTTTCCCCTGTATTTGTTTTTTTTAATCCGCTCTTATTTTCCTCACTGGGCTATCTTCAAACACACTCACACATTCCACCACATGCTGTACCCCGTGCCATCGTCTTCTTTTCTTATGTCATCAGGAGCTGGCTGTCTCTTTCATGTTCCTGCAGGTGGCCCTTTGATGATGTGCCGCGGCACATGCGCAGTATGGTCCAGCCTAACCACTTGCCTACTGGGCACTTTTACCCCCTTCCTGCAAAGGCCAATTTTCAGCTTTCAGCACTTTTGCACTTTGAATGACAATTGCGCAGTCATGCAACACTACCCAAACTAAATTTTTATCATTTTTTTTGTAGACAAATAGAGCTTTCTTTTGGTGGCATTTAATCACCCCTGGGGTTTTTATCTTTTGCTAAACAAGTGAAAAAAAAAAAAGACCAAAACATTTGAAAAAAAAGTTTTTCTTAGTTTCTGTTATAAAGTTTTGTAAATAAGTGACTTTTCTCCTTCACTGATGTGTGCTGATGGGGCTGCACTGATCGGCACGGATAGCTGGTACTGATGGGAGTATACTGATCATCAGTGCACTGATGATCAGTGTAGATGTCCCCTCTGAGAAATGTCGCTTACCGGCTGTCCTCTCATGTGTCAGCGTGAGGAGAAGACTGTCGATAACCAGCATTTCCTATTTATACTGTGATCAGACACAGCAGATCAAATGGTAAAAGGCGGCTCTGATTGGCCCTTTATCTTGATATGTGATCAGCTGTGTTCGAAGGACACAGTGATCACAGCTGGAGCACAGTGCTTGCCCCAGGGGGCGTGCAGGGGGTGTGGTTCTGGGAGGCCATGGACGCCCTCCCAGAACAAGCCGACTGCGCTTTAGCCAACTTTTGGCTATAGCGTGTTCAGGAACTGGTTAACCTAAAGCCTTCTGGGATGCATGCTGCGAGTATCTCAAGTGGCAGCTGGGGTACATCACTGAAGGTGAAAGTAATGAAAGTAAGGGCAGCTTAGGAAAGGTGTTTACCAAAAAGAAAAAAAATGCAATTAAGGGAAAGAAGGCAGTAGAAGCATTTTTATGTTAAGTGGTTGAGGCGGGTGAAAGCTTTAAAGCACCTGGTGACCTGGAATTATTATGCTGACCAGGGGTTGGGTCTTCACTGCTGCATGCTTGTTCTAGGTCACGGATTTAAAAAATTACAGAGGCCAAACTACTGATTTTTGTAGAAGGTCAGCCTACATACACTATATTGCCAAAAGTATTGGGGCACCCCTCCAAATCATTGGATTCAGGTGTTCCAATCACCTCCATGGCCACATGTGTATAAAATCAAGCACCTAGGCATGCAGACTGCTTCTACAAACATTTGTGAAAGAATGGGTCGCTCTCAGGAGCTCAGTGAATTCAAGCGTGGTACTGTGATAGGTTGCCACCTGTGCAATAAGTCCATCCGTGAAATTTCCTTAATACTAAATATTCCACGGTCAACTGTTAGTGGTATTATAACAGAGTGGAAGCAACTGGGAACAGCAACTCAGCCACCAAGTGGTAGGCCAAGTCAAATGAAAACGTGAGGTCAGTGGATGCTGAAGCGTCCAGTGAGCAGAAGTCACAGAGTCCTGACCTCAACCCGCTAGAACACCTCTGGGATGAATTAGAGCGGAGACTGCAAGCCAGGCCTTCTCGTCCGACATCAGTGCCTGACCTCACAAATGTGCTTCTGGAAGAATGGTCAAACCTTCCCATATTATTATTATTATTATACAGTATTTATAAAGCGCCAATAGTTCACTCAGCGCTGTACATTACAAAGGGGGACAGAACATGTGACAGAACAATACCAATACAATGCAAAACATGAGGGGATCGAGGGCCCTGCTCTTTCGAGCTTACAATCTAGACACCCTCCTAAACCTTGTGGACAGCCTTGCCAGCAGAGTTGAAGCTGATATAACTGCAAAGGGCGGGGCCAACTCAATATTGAACCCTACGGACTAAGACTGGGATGCCATTAAAGTTCTTGTGCGTGTAAAGGCCGGCCGACCAATACTTTTGGCAATATACTGTATTTCCCTTAGTACAGGTTCCTTTTGCCAGTTATTTCTCTCCATAGACAGCAGACGGCTGTCATGTGGCATCTGCTATTTCAAATTTGGTTAATTTGGTTTAAGAATAACCCCTGAGGAGATCCTGCTGAAAGTCCACAGTTTTTCAATATCAATCCAGAGATAAGACGACCATCAAAAAAACTGCCAGTTGTAGGTGAAAAACCGTGAAATCCCATAATGGAAAAGAAGCAACAGATTAGAGTTAGGCTGGCCACAAATGAAATGAATTTATGTCTGAACTAGACAATCAAAAATATTTCATTAACAATTGATCTGTTTGAATCAGTTTGTCTAACATCTACCATTTAACTGTCAATTTTGCAATTGGTTTTGTAAATGAAAGACAAGACTCCTTTGTCTTATCCATTGAAAAAAGCATTCTCTCCTTGGTGAGCTTAAACAGCAAGATTCACCAGAGTTGTGACGAATTTGACAGAATTCAGCAAATATGTAATGAACAAGAATGACAAAATTCTTGAGGTGGAGATTGTGACGTTACCGCCCCTCCTCACTCCTATCAAAGAAAACAAATATGTTTTGCCTTATGTGTATTTGAATTAAATCATTTTGCTAATGAGTGTAATTGAACCTTACCATACATCCATCAGCGAATAGCCAGCCTAAGCCTTTCAGTGTTATTTCTAATATTTAACCAGTTAATACTCAAAGACAGAGTTATCACTGTTACATTTACAATCATCAAGTCAACACGCTTTTTATATCAGACAGCTTTGTATGACATACCTGCATGAATACCCTGTGGACCCTGATTCTGCTGCATCATAAAGTTTCCTGCTGTGCTCCCCTGTGGCATCACACTACTGCGCCCTGGAGAGCTGACAGTCTGTTGTGGGAAACCCTGAGGCAATGAACTGCCTTGTCCTGGTCGTGGTCCCATGGTCTGTGGCTGGGTTTGGTTTACTGTGGGGGACGATGCAGGTGAGCTCTGCTGGAAGGAAGGAGATGAGGCTGGAGATTTGGAGAGATGGGGTTGCTGCAATGGAGTCAGTACCCTTGGAGGTCCCCCCTGCATTGGTTTCATTGGAGGTGTGTTGAACTGGTTTGAGTTGGCCATAGAAGGGAAATTAGAGTGAACTTGGGATGCCTGCTGGCTGCCAAATGGGTAAGGAGGGGGAGGGTGGGATGGTGTCTGCACTGCTGATAGAGATGGTCTCTGTGGGAATTGCTGCTGTTGTTGTAATGGCCCTCCTGCACCCAATGCGGATTTCTTCCACTGCTGATTGGGTGGAACAGCCCCCATATTTGCCTGAGCTGGTGGAGGCTGCAAGGCTCCTGACGCAAGCTGATTCCAGCCTGGAGGGACAGGAACCTGTGCAGGAGCTGCAAAAGGAGGACGAATGCCTTGAGAAATTTGCTGATGCTGCGGCAGGCGAGCCTGTTGCTGAAACTGCTGAAAGTTGGCTGGATTGGCTGGTCGGTTGCCTACAACTGCCTGCATTTGATGGAGCTGAGGAGCCAGGGTACCAGATGGATGACTCTGCTGCTGAACTGTCAAACCAGATACAAGGGGATCCATGGCATCTAAAGGGGAGAAACACTTCATGAGGCCTTGACACTTTTCCCTTTTTTTTTTATAACTATAAAACATGCATGCCTACAAACTGCAAACCTAGGCATTTTCTACTAAATGTTTACAGTAACATGTCAGGGTAGAAATTTCAGTAGTAGCAGTTCCCATTTTTTTTCAATGATGATAGGTTCTCTTGAAAGATTAACTCTGCATACAACATTCATTTGTATATATTTCTCAACAGCCACAAAAGATAAAAAATCCACTTTCTATGCACTGAATCCCTTTGCAAGCCCAGATACTACCTTGTAAAAGCAGCAATGATATATTCACTGGGCTGTTTATAACCCACCCCTGCAGACAACTACAGGAGGGAAGATATAGGACCAGTCACCCTGCCCACAAAGAGAGAGCAGCAGTGACCAATCTTTATTACAGAAAGCCCCCGCACAGAGGTAAAGTGCAGGAGTTATTTCATGCTAGGTTACTTTGTAGACCTGTGAGAAACACATAAAGGACACAAAGATTAAAGTGATAGCATGCATTGCTCTTGTATTGGGACAATGCTTTATTAGCCTGGATTTTAGTTTTAACAGAATACCTACCGTATTTTCCGGCGTATAAGACGACTTTTTTACCCCTTGAAAATCTTCTCAAAAGTCAGGGGGTCATCTTATACGCCGGTATATGGCATACTGACACTTTTTAGGGGGGCGGCGCGGCGCAGTGCCGCCGCCGCCCCCCCCCTTCCAACGGAAGGGACACTAAGTACAGGGGTGGGCAGGGGCTGTTTCTTACCTGGCTCCGGTCCCACGACGATCCGGTCCAGGAAGCGCGGCTGCTCCTTCAGTTCGGCCACTGGATGTTCGCGCAGCTGCTCGGCTCCGCCTCCTCACCGGTGATTGGCCGCCAGAACTGTAGCTCAGGAAAGGCACACAGGCGGCCAATCACCAGCGAGGGGGCGGAGCCGAGCTTCCCCACGAAAATCGAGTGCAGGAGCAGCAGGTAAGTGTTCAGTGTAGAGGTGCTGCTGCAACCACATATGCTGGCTGCAGCAGCAGCACCATACTAGAACAGGGTCAGCAAGTGTAATTGGTGTCAGTGGGAGGAATAGTGCCCCATCATTGGTGTCACTGATACCAATGATGGAGCACTATTCCTCCTACTGACACCAATGATGAGGCACTATTCCTCCCACTGACACCAACGATGGGGCACTATTCCTCCCCCCCACTGACACCAACGATGGGGCACTATTCCTCCCCCCCACTGACACCAACGATGGGGCACTATTCCCCCCCCCCCACTGACACCAATGATGGGGCACTATTCCACCCCCCACTGACACCAATGATGGGGCACTATTCCACCCCCCACTGACACCAATGATGGGACACCATTCCTCCCACTGACACCAATGTTGGGACACTATTCCTCCCACTGACACCAATGATGGGGCACTATTCCCCCAACTGATACTAATGATGGGGCACTATTCCTGCCACTGATACCAATGATGGGACACTATTCCTCCCACTGATACCAATGATGGGGCACTATTCCTGCCACTGATACCAATAATGGGGCACCTATTCCCCCCACTGATACTAATGATGGGGCACTATTCCTGCCACTGATACCAATGATGGGGCACTATTCCTCCCACTGATACCAATGATGGGGCACTATTCCTCCCACTGATACCAATGATGGGGCACTATTCCTGCCACTGATACAAATGATGGGGCACCTATTCCCCCCACTGATACTAATGATGGGGCACTATTCCCGCCACTAATGCCAATGATGGGGCACTATTCCTCCCACTGACACCGATGATGAGGCACTATTCCTCCCACTGGTGTGCATTGGAAGAGGGGTAGTCTTATACGGCGAGTATAGCCCAAACACTACATTTTAGCAGGAAAAGTAGGGGGTCGTCTTATACGCCCAGTCGTCTTATACGCCGGCAAATACGGTATATTAAAAAAACACAACAAAAAAAATAACAGGAAAACCTTCATAGTTAGTCAAATGAAGCATACTGTCTATCTTCACCACCTTACTCAACTGCAACAAGCTACAAAATGCCAGGTACACTTTTAGCTGCCTGGAAAGTGTTTCTTTACAACACCTTGCTGTGAAGAGGGTCTTGGAGTCCTTGGTTGGAGGTCCGCACTGCCACCTGCAGCCATCATAGAAGATGAAACATGGGGACCTTGGGACATCATGGTGCCTGCTGCGGCAGGGTTATTCATCCTGATGAGGCCTGGATGGTAACAGAATAGTCGAATTATTACTATTATTATTTTTTTTTTCTTACAGTAATAGAGAAAACAAAAAGGCTTTGACTTTCTGAACCAACTGCTGTAATATACCTGCTCTGCCCTGAACTGCAAAACTGGGGTCAATTCTCATTGCGTTATTTGCTGCCATTGGTCCATTCATTCTAACCTCCTGTGCAGGGTTTTGAGCTAATGCAAGATTTATCGCCCCTTCTCCTGAAAAATATTAGCAGAGAAATTAAATTCCATGATGGTTCACCGCAGGAAAAACATGCAGAAAAACTTAAAATATATATAAACCCAAACAATTAAGATTAACTCTTATTTACTCCCTTTTGGTCTTTTAAATATTCCATTAAAACCGTTTTGTTACATCTATGCAATAAAACTGGGTTCCTGTCAAAAACCTTGTGAGCCTGTAACTCCTGTAGTGAGCTGACAACACAGAGCCTCGTCTGCTGCACTGGAATCTCTAGGAGTCTTACCATCCCTGTCTACGTTACTTCTGAACTACAGAATACCTCCTTATCCTAAGGAGATGAGAAGGTGCTCTGTGGTCCTAGCACACTTTCTGTCCTAAAATGACAATGCTGCTGCTCCATTGGTACAGACAGTGTGGAGGAATTTAATAAAACTAGAACAGACATAATCTGGAGCAGCTGTGCATAGCAGTTAAGCTTTGAAAATGAAAAGTTAGCAGCTGATTGGGTTGCCATGCACAGATGCTCCAGATTTTGTCTTGAATCATAGTAAATTCCCTTCAGTGAGTGTTGTCACCCTAGGACAGAACATGTGTTACTGGTAAAAACATCATAGCAAAATGAAGGAAACGAAAGCAAATTATGCCACCATATTTAAAACTGGGTAACCTGCAATTTGTTAGGATTTTGGTTTATCTGTAAAATCCTTGCCTTAGGGAGTACACCAGAAGACACAGGTTATATTGTATTTATGACTACGTGGGTTTTTCTGCCACCTTCAAGTAAATATACACTGGCCAAAAAAAAAAAAAAAGGCAGAATTTCTGCACCCAGGAAAACCCATCCAAGCTCAGCTAAGTATCAGCTTTGTAGCAAGAAATGAGGAACACAGACAAAGAGAAGAGGGATCCCTGTGTCCTGTGATGTACTCCACGAAATTTATTTTACAGGTAAACTAGAAATCCTAATTTCATAATTGTACATCACAAGATATATGGCACTTCACATTCATAACTACTTGAGATGTCCCAAAGCACTGAACATGAGGGGTGGACAACACAGCAAAAGATCAACACGCCCAAACCTGAAACTGGAATAGGGGAAAACCTCATTTACAAAGCTGCTTGCAAGATCTTTTGCCCAAAACTGACATCTGCAGAGACACGAACATCTAAGTGGATGCTGCTGAATCACCCAGGAAGCACGGACACTCCTTTCGGAATGGGACTTGATTGGGAAAATAGAAAACTTGATTGCCCCAGGTCTAGGAAATAGGCTTATAAACAACCTAAAAATAGTGGATTGAGAAGCAGCCTTGTGTGGATCATCAGCAAAAACAAACAGGGACTCAGACTGTCAAAAGGAAGCTGTAGATTCAGAAAAATTAGAACAGTTGAAATTACAAAGAGTGAAACACCTTTGGAAGAAAGACAATAGGAAGGACTGAGGTTTCAATACCACCTTATCCTGGTGCAGAACCACCAAGAATGGCAGGAATGTTACTTGCAGGAGAGCACAGACAAAGCAAAGACCCTGCCAACCAAAGTAATGGCAACCAAAAAGACAACTATACGCATATTAGGTAACAAGGGGCTGTCTTGGAGAAGATATAAAAGAGAAGTCTGCAAAACAGACAGGTCCCACATAAACAAAAAGGGCTGCACAAGAGGAGCTATCCATATGAGATTCTGTACAAAGACTTTACCAAGAAATGAAATGTGTTAGGTCTCTGAAGCAAAATGGCCAAGGCCTGTATTTGCTCCATGATAGTACTTAAAGCCAGAAACATCTTCACATTATACTGGAGAAAATCCAAAATGCACCACACAACATAATGTCAGATGAAAATTATAAGCCTCTCACTGGGCAAAATAATTCTTCATGTACAGTACACCACCCTCCTGGAGATCAAATTTCTTGCATTCTTTCACCGCAAGTGCCTGAGAATACCTAAGCTGCAACATAAATTTGTGCAGTTTGTCGTTTAATGTGGAAACAAAGAGATTCACATCCTGCGTCCCCCACAGCAGATGAATCTCTGCAAACATCTCCAGGTAGTTTCTGAGCACCACAACTTTCTGTCACTCCTTGATAGGTGATGTATGCCACAGGACTGTACAATTGCACCACGAGGGGGAGACCTTGAAAGGTAGACAGACCAGTGTAGGAGAGCTAGCCAAATCAG